TGAGGAAAGTTAACAAAGGATAATATTTTTTCTAGTACAATTTCAGAAGCAGATGCAAACTCGGTGAACGTTAATTGCATTAAAAAAAATGATCTGCGCATATCCGCGCATAACCTAGGATTCACAATATACGCAAATACACTTTTGTTTTTTGCTCATTTTCGGAAATGTGTTTGTCAGAGGAAGTATTTTAAGACTTATAGTTCACGCGTCATTTATTTTTTGGTCATTTAAACTTTGCAACTCTGAGAAATAATCCAAGTCTATTAACGTTTTTTGTTTTACTTAGATACATCCACTGTGACGCAGACATTTGGGTAAATATTGCAGGATTTTTATCATTCATCGGGATTCTTTGGCTTTGCCTTTTGTTTCCAACAATTAGCAAACTATCTACAGCAATGTTTCAAATCTCACACACTGGCTGTCGGGACTGTATCTATTTCTCTATATTCCAAGACGACGAGCTCGGGCTGACTTGAGGGCAATAATTTGAAAAGTCACCGCAGCATCCTCCGAGGTCTGCATGACCGCTCTTGGGTAAAAACGTCGCCGCTGGTGTCTTGGAGGTGGCGCACTCCTCTTGACTAAACGTGGCGGCGCACGGTATGTGGTGAGAGTAAAAGTAGCTGGCTTGTCCGGAGATCATGTTAAAAGAGCACGGGTCTGTCAGCGGCAGCGTGCACGCGGGGATGGAGGCGGAGAAGGCGGTGCACGCGGCGCCGATCTGGTGGCGACGGGACTGCGCGCAACTGAGTCCGATGTAAGACATCTCCTGGTGCGTCTGCAAGAACCGGTCAGCGTCCGCAGCGTTTGCGCTCAGTCGGGCCCGCTGTGAGACCACTGACGTGGCGTGGTTGGAGAAGCGAGGGTGCGCGCTTAGATATGTCCCCGCGCCAAGGTGGGTGCGCACCGGCGCTTGGAGAGGTAGAAACGGCGGAACCGGCCAGTAAAACGAACTGGCTGCGGCCAGAGTGACGCTGGTTGCAGTGCCCGAGGGCATCACACGACCGCCTCCTCTCTTCAGCCCGAGCTTGGTCCTGGAGCCAGCTGCGGCTCTGCGGCGCAGTTTTCCCGATGTGCCACCTATGAAGACGTCCTCGCTGCAGGGGTCCAGCATCCAGTAGTTGCCTTTGCCGGGATCGTCGTAGTGGCGCGGCACTTTCACGAAACACTTGTTTAGGCTCAGGTTGTGCCTGATTGAATTTTGCCACCCTTGTCTGTTTTGCCGGTAGTACGGAAAGTTTTCCATGATGAACTCATAGATGCCGTTGAGCGTAAGCCGTCGTTCGGGACTTTGGCGGATCGCCATCATGATGAGCGCGTTGTAACTAAAAGGCGGTTTTTCGGGTTTGACGCTTTCTTCTGCCCCACCGGTTTTCCTCGATTCTTCCTTATTTCCTTCTCGTCTCCCAGTTACAGTCCCCGCTTTGGTTTCCACTTTGGCGCATTCTTTTGACTTTTCAAAGTTTTGATCATGGCTGGCTTTTGCAAGCTGGCTAGAGCGCACTTTCTGGGACTGAGAAGGAGACTCCTGGTCACCCATCACTCCTTCTCGTCTCCACAACAGGCTGCTGATGCTGAATGAAGACTTGTGGAATAATCGGCTTGAAGTTTTCACATCCTCAATCTCCATCCCAAAGGTTAAAAAACACTCTCGAAATTATCAAAGCTGTCCGGAGATCACAGGAGAGCGCACCGCTGAACACACAGAGCAAAGATGCGTCGACTCAAAGTGGTAAAGAGCCAAAGACGCACGGGCCAGACAGCGTGACAACAAATGCGCATGATCACAGCAGCTCAGGACTCGTTACCTCCAAAACGACTCACGTTGGTGTTTACTTTGTAACTGCGCATAAAAGAGAATCATCCTGGGACGTGTTGTGCGCATGTGTCCGTACTTTGAGTCAAGTGGTTCTATTTTAGTAAAAAGATAATTCGTTTATTCCAGTGAAGAGCTAAACGCCTTTTATCCATAAAATCAAAGCAACGCACTAAAATATGACTCGTGTGATGTTTTTTCCTCATAAGCACCTATCAACCCCCCCAAAGAAAAATCTATAATAATTTGAGAATGAAAGGATGTGCCATGATGCCAAACACACTGTGCCAAGGCGGGCTTGAACCCGGGATGACATGGATGTGCTGTCAATCTATGTGACTGATCAGTGAACTCTGGGGTGCAATTATAACACTTCCGTGACTCATGAAATTCAACACTCTCACACGCGCCTCACCCCCTGGGCTGGCCTCATCTTTCTCTCTCGTTTTTCTTCTTCTCTGTTTTCTCTCTTTGCGCACCTTAATCGACATCATAGGAGCCAATTTGGCAAAATGCCGATCAAGAGAATGAAGACGCTGTAGAGACCGAATGATCCTGTATATAACGGGCCAAAGACGAGCAGGCTAAAACGCAGAATGAAGGGCAAGATTATTACGCGTACCAGTTATTTCGTAATTTATACCAGCTCTGAGTTGCAAGCTTTTATGATGCAAAATTTTTTATTATTTCTGGGCAAAAATGTGGTAAAATTAAATAAACAGTAGCCAGAGATTCTCTGTAACTGAAAACTGCCTCCTTACTTCAAATTAAACAGTGTATTTGACTTAATCCATGCTTCTCTTAAATCTAATAATTACTCACAGTGAGTTTTCTCTCTGCGTAGGTTACTTGCTACATAATGCTAACCTTGACTTTTCTTAGTTTGAACAGTTGTCCACTGATGAAGAAAGCAGATAAATGTGTCGACACGTTAAGGTTTCGCTTGAATTGATTATTTTAGTGATAATGCATCAGTCATTTCAGACATGACGTATCCAGGTTTTGATTTTTTGTGAACATGCTTTGGAGTGTTCATGTCGCTGAGAACAGTGTTAAAGTTCAGCAGGCAACAGGCCACCATGACTGAGACTCCGGTGGCAACGAATGAGTTCCAGCCTAATGACCTAGGCTGTTGTTGAAATAGCACCTAATTAAAGCAGTGTCCTGTAGCAATGAAGCCTGTGGGGTCATAAATGACGAAACATGTAATGTTAATAGTGTGTACAAGCACTCCTAATGATATAAATTCATTAGGCTGCTCATAAACTCATTTTCAGAGTTCACTTGTTTTTAAGGCACCTACACCATCCTGGTTTAAATGCATTTAAGTTAGAATTAAGCTGAGCACGCTTACTTTGGCACGATACATCAAGTTCACGTGCCCTACTTGCATGTTACTGCAGTGCCAGATGTATGTATTCCTACTTAAGGAGAAATAGATCATTTAAAGAAAACCACATCATTATATTTTACATTGTGCTCTCCTCTCCAAGCAGAAGTCAGATTGCTTTTCTTCACTCTAAATATGTGACTGTCAATAAATCCTGCCAATAACTTTCTGCTATGATGCCTTTCCATCAGAAAGGGGATGAAATAGATCTGGTGTAAATGAATGTAAGACAGGGATATGAGTTTTTCCTGCTTGTTTTATTGTCTGAAAGGCCTTCACCTCTCCATGTCACACCGGTACAAACGATAAGTTCACGTGAGGTTCCTGAGTGATGTGGGCACTCCTTCAACCACAAGAAAGTGAAGCAGGGCCTAAGGGGCGATGAGTTATAGCCTTGTGTTATTTTCTATTCTACAAACAGCAGCAGGAGTGAACAAAAGGTCATCACACACACACACACACACACACACACACA